TGACCCTCTCCACCCCCTCCTATGAGGCAATGTCAACAGCCTGATCATAATGGACTCTTGCAAGCATACAAGGCTAATCTAATGAAGATGGGGGTTGTTTTGCTTTAAGAACCATAATCTACAACAGGAACATACAGACATGCCCAACTTTTACATAAGTGCTAGGGATTGGAACTCTAATGCTCATTTTTGCACAGCAAGCTATCTCTCTAGCTAGCCCTATTTATTTTTTTTGTTTTTTGACACAGGGTTTCTCTGTATTGCTTTGGAGCCTGTCCTGGAACTCGCTCTGTAGAGCAGGCTGGCCTTTATCTCACAGAGATCCACTTGCCTCTGCCTCCCGAGTGCTAGGACTAAAGACATGTGCCACCAATGCCTGGCTAGAGTGTTTTTAAGAAGTCCTGGCCTATGTCTTCATCTTGAAGTGATTTTCCTATGTCTTCCTCTAGCAGTTTCAACATTTTAAGTCTTACATTAAAGGTCTTTGATGCATTTTAAACAGGTTTTGTTTATAGCTGAGTTACAGATCTAGTTTTGTTCCTTGTGGCTGTTCAGGTTTCTCAGCACCATTTGCTGAAGAGGCTGTTCTCTCTCCAAAACATGTTTTTAGCACATTTGTCAAAAATCAGGTGGCTGGAGCTGTGTGGATTTATTTCTGCATTTTACATTGTTCCATTGGTCTATGTATCTGTTTTGTGCCACTATCATGAAGTTTCTGCAATCTGACTCTAGTATAGAGTAATCTGACTCTAGTATAATTTGAAATCAGGTATTATGACAGCTTTCACATTTCTTTCTGTAAATGATAGTAAATCATTTTAGCTATTTGGGGTCTCTTTCACTTCCATGTGACTTACAGGGTTGTTGTTTCCTGCTTCTGTGAAAAATGTCATTGGACTTTTGGTAGGGAGTGAAGTGAATCTGAAGATCATTTAGTATTGTAGCCATTTTCACAATGCCAATTTTGCTGATCTGTAGGCACAGGGATCTTATAAAAATTTGTCTTTCTCTTTCTTCTTTTCTTCCTCCCCCTTTTCTTCTTTCACTCAGTAGCTCAGGTTAGCTGGGAACGCATTATGTAACCTAGGTTTGTCTCAAACTGCAGTGATCCTCCTGCCTTCCTAAGAGCTGGATAAAAGCTTTTTAAAAAAAATCAAGTTGCCAGGCATGGTGGCACATTAAAATCCTAGCAATCAGGAGGCAGAGGAAGGCAAATTTCTGTGGGTTTCACAACAGCAAAAGCTACACAGTGAGACCTTGTGTAATTACCCACAAGGTGTAATTACCGCCCCCCCCCAAAATAAAAAAGGTGTGAGCCTTAGACACAAGAAGAAAAAGATGATGTGTTGGAGAAATTTCTCTCTTGGTCTTCTATGTTTGGTGTCTCTTAGGTAAGGGGGAACAGTGGGGAGGGAATATATCAGATGGTCACTTAAGTTGCCCTCCCTTTAGGAGAGTCCCTTTTCTGTATCAGGAGCCTCTGCTGGCCACTTAGCTTTGAAGCACATGGGCCAGACAGGTTCTCCCAGTCTCCTTTGACTCAATTTATGCACCCTAGGGTGGCTAATATTATAGCCAGAGGGTGTCTCCCAAGAGCACTGGGAATGGGGATGCAAATACAGCACTGAAATCCATACAGAAGGACCTGTTCTTTGTGCTTTCAGAGCCCATTCTGCATTAAACATCCTCGTAGGACATGAAGCTGCAAAAGTACATGTATATGCCTCTAACAAACTCCCATTGCATACACAAACTGTCCCATGAATCCATAAAACTGCCACACACAATTTCACTGAACACCCTCCACCCCCAAAGTCATGACACCAGAACTGATCCTCACATTGGGTACCTAAAACTTCACTACACATACTATTACACACACAGCCCTTGTCTCCACTGTCCACATGGCTCTATATTACACACACAGCACTTTCCCAGCAGCGTTGACGATAGCTTTCTTTACCCACTTTGGGCCTCCTATCACAGCCTGTTTCTGACAGTCCATCCAACCTGTGCAAATTTTACTTCACCATCTCTCATGCAGATCCCATTCCTCAAGCAGTCTGACATTACCTCTTTGGAGATGGTGAACTCCTGGATGCTGAGGACTCCATGCACTGGTGCTGGGATGAATTCATCTCTCTGGAAATGTTCTCCTCCCTCTCTGCCCCCATCAAATGTTTTGATTCCTTTACATCAGCTTAGGAGTTAGGGCCCGCATAGTAGCTTCCTTTTGACCTTTCCAGTATCTGCTTGCTTATATACCAGGATATCCAGTCAATACTTTGAACTAAGTTGGTACAGACATCAAAGCAAACCAGTCCTTGGGAGTTCTCAAAGCAGCTGGTAAGAGAATGTTTCTTACCAGAACTCCTCCACACCTTTTAAGACTATGAGCTGAGAAAGGAAATGATGTAAGGGTAAGGGAACTTCTCAGTGCTGGGAGCGCCCAGGCACACATACATTCTAGGCAAGTGCTCTATAACTGATCTGTAACTCACTCTGCTCCAGCCCTATTTGTTTGGAGAGCTTCTGGTCTGTGAGCCCCTTTCTGTAGTCCAATGGTGGAAGTTGGAGTTGGGGAAAAGATATGCCTCCCCAAAGTCGAAGTGTAAGGCCGCTGTGACAAGGGCATGAAAGACAGTAGACAACATGGGTGGTATGTACCTTAATTCTCACTGATAAGGCAAGGACAAAGGACATCTGCAACAGGAAGACAACTATCGATGCCTGTAGCTGTCCAGAAAGGACAGCCCACATATTCAGTAGGCTACCGGAGGCTGTGGAGCTAACTCAGCACAGGGAGGCTTAATACTCTCTGGGCTGCTCCTACCAACCAGGAGGGGATGAGTGTGGGACAAAAGATACAACCATCCACTTTTCACCCCCCCCCCCCGTTAATGGGATTATCTGGCCTGGCAGGGTCCCACTGCCCTTGAGCCCCAAATAAACACACAGACACTTTAATTATTTAACTGTTGGCCATTGCTAGTGCTTCTTACTAGCTAGCTCTGCCTTAATTATTAACCCATTTCTATTAATCTATGTATTTCCACGTGGTCTTGGCTTACTAGAGAACACTCGGACCTGCTTTTTCTGAGGTGGCTACATAGTGACCCTGTGGCAGGACCTTCTGCCTACACTTCCCAGAATTCACTTCGTCTCCTAGTCTGGTAGCCCCGCTTATCTTTCTGTCTGGCCAATCAGTGTTTTATTTATCAACCAATAAGAGAAACATATATCAGAAGAACACTCCCCATCACCCCTCAACAGTGGTGGCCTTGAAGGTCTGACGATCTTGAGAAGACCCACTGCTACAGTGGAGAATGGGGCAATCCTTTGTGCCAGGCTCTTTGTATTGCTGATTCATTTCTTTGACTGAAAGTGGTCACACAGTTTTCTAGAAACATGCAGAAAACTAGTTTCTACTTTTTTTCTTGGAAGAAGTCTCCCCCAACTCAGAAAATATTAAAGGGGCGGTAGGTATAGAAGAAGAGAGATGGCTAGATTTTCTTTGCCTGTGGTTACTTCCAGACGGTCCAGCAGTGAAAAGCTTCATTGTTCTCTGCTTCTTCAGTGTGCTCAGTATGACTAGCTGCCTCCCACAGTCATACCTTCCCTGACATGATGGAGAACATGAGCGCCTGAAACTAACGTTGACATCCAGGTGAGGACTTTGTGCTAGCATCTGTGACTAAATTTTATTGAGCTGATGAGGCTTGGGAGGTGGGGAGGAGGGGGGATCAATAACATCTTTTGTCCACAGGGAAAAGGAACATTCAGGAAATCTGAAAAGGCTCTTGAAAACTTTAAGAATGAAAGTAGTGGGGGGAATGGATAAAAAGACTGCAAGATAAAATTGAAGAAGCAGATCAAAAAGTTATTAACAGACATGGAAAAACGGGAGCAAAACAAAGTATGGAAGGTCAGTGACGTGTGCGCGTGCGTGTGTGCATGCGCCTTTACACCTGAACAGTTGTAGTTCCATAAAAAAACAATCTCCACAAAACCCAACGTAGCAGGGAGGCATTTAAAATAAGCAACAGGAGCTGGAGAGATGGCACAGTGCTTAACAATACTGGCTGTTCTTGCAAGACCTGGGTTCAGTTGCTTGCACCCAGACAACAGCTCAAATCATCTCTAACTAGTTCCAGGGAATTGGAAACCCTCATCTGACCTCAGCACAAACATGATGTACAAACATGCATGCAGGCAAACATCCATAACATCCATAATCATTTTCCAGGATCAAAGAGTGTAAGTTTTCAGAAGTGTTCAAAGGGCCAGAGAGATCAATGCACACCATCACAGACTGCTGGAGTGCCCAGAGCTACAGGAAAGAAAAAGAACCTCAACACACACAAGTGGATACTGGAGGACAAGCCAACATCTCGGACAATCTGAAGAAAAATGTTATCTAAATGTGCACTTTTAAACTATCAGCAACCAAAGACACTTTCAAGCATTTAAGACCTTGGTAATTTTGCCTCATTTTATATCTAAGGAATTTACACGAGGAAGCCTAGCACCCAAACAAGAGAAATAAAAGAGGCCACACAGGATATAGTTAACTGAAATCCAGTCTGAGACAAAAGTAAATAAATTTACTACAGAGGTACTGTGAGAGCCACTCAAGTCGATTTCCTTTCTTCCCCCCCTTTTTTGAGACAGGGTCTCACTGTGTAGCCTTGAACTCACAGAAATCCACCTGCCTTTGCTGACTGAGTGCTGGGATTAAAGGTGTGCATCACACATATACCTAACTTTCTATACTAGTTTGGTCATGTTGGGGAAATAATGACCAGAGAGCAGACCAGCAGAGAGACTGCCTGGTCAGAACACATGAAGGTAATCCTCTTCTTGAGGGTCCACAAGGGTAAATGACTTTTGGTGCCACAGGGCCAGCATTTAACCTAAGCAAAATGTCTAGTCCTCTCCAATGTGTGCCTGAAAAAGCATAGTTTTTCTTCTTCAGGAATAAAGACTATGGCAGCCACAAGCTCACTCCAAAAGTATGAAAATGGAGCACCATGGGTTGATTTTAATAGTTTTTTTTTTTCCAAATTAGAACACTCCATCATGTTCACACCGCAGAAAATTCAGTCCTCCAAAAATCATGCAAAAAAAAAAAAAAAACTAGACAGTAGATAAGAACATACACACTGAAAGTAGGCAAAATATTTTAACAAAAAATTATCTAAAATATGCAAAATTTCACTATGAAATGTTTTAACTTGTATAATTTAGTATTTATACCAACCTGATTTAGATGCTTGAGTCTCTATTTTTGAATATCTATTTTTTTTGAATATCTATTTCTATGCTATAGGCCAGTACCTGCATCCCCACATGTAAGCTCTTGCCTTTCTTCAAGTTTTCTGGACTATACATTTAAACCCTGGATTTTAGATGTGAAACAAGCCTATGGTTATCAACAGCAGCAGGGCTGGGAGGATCTTCACAGCATGGCAGTGAGTCCTCACTCACATTCTTAGAACTGAACCAAATACACAGAATGCCTTGGTGTACATTAGCTCTAACCCTGTAAACTGGCTCTGCACTTGGTTGCTGTGTTCTTGTGTGTTACACAGACATGCTGACTTTGCAATCTATGCTTTGTAAGAGAGCAGGTAATTCCAGCACAGAAGAAACCATATAGTGAGGCATGGGGGATGATGTCAGCGGCACCCTTCCACTCTTGTTTATCCAGACTGTGGCTTTCAGTCCTGCATTGAGGCCTCCTTGTATATCAGTTTCTAGTGTGTCACCAACCATCACGCAGTCCCCTGGCTGCACTCCAAGGAGATCACAGCAGTGATAAAATATGGAAGGTGCTGGTTTCTCCTCTTTCTGCTCTCCTCCTACAACAATAGCATCAAAGTAAGACTGGCAAGCACAAGCCTCGATCTTCTCCCTCTGTGTCTGTCTGTCACCGTTTGTTAACAAGAGTAGGCGGACCTCTTTGCGAAGTTCAGTGAGCATGGCTTTGACATCTTCTGCTAGGGTCATATGCTGTAAACGTGTAGATTTCCACAGGAAATAACATTCTTCTGCCAATTTTCTATTGTCAGCACCACCTCTGGTTTCCTGGATTGCTTCTTCCCAGTGTGAAGTCCTCACATCTGTAATGCACGCACTGTAAGGATGAAAGCATTCCTTGCTAAGTTTTACTTGAACTTTATCACAGATGATTTCCGCCTCTTCTTTATAGTGGTATTTTGACTGTAAGAGTTTTATTACCTAGGTAAGGAAAATAACTTGGTCAGCATACTTGTCTTCAACAGTCATGTCTTGAGAAGCAGAGACTTCTTCCCATTAACACAACATCTCTACAGGCTTTAGTTTAAGGACTCTCCACCCCCAGAGACAATCAATCACAACACATATCATCTGTCTGTCACTCCAACCCCCGTGGGCTGTGTCAGTTTCAAATTCCCATGTTTAAAAACCAGCATCTATTTTATGATGATTCTTCACATAAAGCAAAACCAAGCTTTCATTGGTTTGGTAGCCTACCATGTTTCATACTGGTCACGAAGACACAAAAATACAAATTTTGCTTAAATCTAGTGACATATTTTAATAATTTCTGAAAAGCACTGTATATCACACACACACACACACACACACACACACACACACACACACACACACACACACACAGTACTGGGGATGCAACCAAGGGCCTTGTCTACATTAGGTATACCACCACCAAGCTACAAGCCCAGCCCTATTAAATCACAGTTACTCATTTGGTATATCTTAACATTTACTAGGCACTGAAATGGGGCTAGCTTTATGGTCACATTAGTACATACCTTCTTAACATTTGCTATAACCCTACAATTCCTTTTCAATTCAAGGCAGTGGAGGTTTAGAACTGTTAAATATTTTCCTGAGTTGGGATCTGAATCCATACTTGCCTACTTCCACAGCAGACACGCTGGCCTGATAGTATACACTGGTCCCTGGAGACAGGGTCCCTTGTCCTTGGGACATCACCATAGGAAAGGGAAGCAGACCCATAGCCATATTGACTGATGATGGGCTGAGTGCCACTGACAGTTAAATGGACAAGAACTATAGAAATAAAATTGAATTCATTCCTTTTTGTTTTTGTTTTTTGAGACAGGGTTTCTCTGTGTAGCCCTGGCTATCCTGCAACTAGCTCTGTAGACCAGACTGGCCTCAAACTCACAGAGATCCACCTGCCTCTGCCTCTCAAGTGCTAGGATTAAAGGTATGAGCCATTCTTTTCTCTTCTTCTCACATCGATAATTAAGAGCATGTGCCATTATTAACAATAGCTGAATAAGGCTTGGCAGAAGTCATACCTAAAACAAGAGTTGATGAGCAGATAACATGGACAAGAGAGGTTTAATTCATTACACACAGAAGCAAAAAAGGGCATGGAATTTTGACCTCAAAGACACAAATCAAGTTGAGCCAAAAATGGAAGGCACAAGGAGACAAGGATATACTGGAGGGCCCTGGAACAAACGCTGCCCAAATCCCTTCTACACCCACTTTCCCCACATATGCCCACAGTTTCAAGTTCATGACTTCTCTGATTGTGCGCTTATCCACAGATGCATCCAGCATGCAGACTGGGGCTCAAGGGTTGCCCTAGGAGCACCATTCAATCAAGAAGAGGCAGAAACTGTGGATAAACACAACACCTTCAATACTTTCTCGTGACAACTGAAGCACATTCTTCCAGACTGTGTCATCCCAGACTGGTGTCTCATACCAGTCAGTGGTCACAATAGCACACCTACTCTTACCTCCCAAAACCTTCCACCAAACTACCTATATAGAAGGACATGCTTCTAAAGTCAGCCATACCATGGCAAATATTGATCTTCAGAAATGAGTGCAAGACATTGTGCTATGATGGTTGTGAGTGCTGCTCAGCAGTAGAACACAGGCCTAGCATGCATAAGGTCCTTTCCTGCACCACCATCAAAAACAGTTCAGTAAGCAAAAATGACGCAAGGAGCAAGATATTAATAACAGTCTCTCTTCTTAAGAATATAAGAATTCCTCCTAATAGAGGAAAAAGTATTTCGGGCTATTTGTGTAAACCAGCTATCTCACTGGTCTTGAATTTATAGTGATCCTCCTGCCCCAGTTTCCAAGAAGAAAAGTCTCACTGATCAAGAAAAATACATCAGTCTTAACAATTTAAGGCCAAAGCAAAACACAAAAAAAATTAGTCTTTTCAATTCCATGGTAGTGCCACCACCTTAAAAAACAAAACAATATGGACTGTTATTCTTCAGCTACATTCCAAGACCTCTCCTAAGTTCCAGCAACCCACTGCTAAATGGTAATGTGAAACAGGATTGATTGACAGAGAACAGAAATTAATGACAAGCAGGGCATTGGTGGCACACGCCTTTAGTACCAGCACTTTGGAGGCAGAGGCTGGCGGATCTCTGTGAATTCAACGCCAGCCTGATCTACAGAGCAAGTGTCAGGATAGGCTCCAAAGCTACACAAAGAAACCCTGTCTCGAAAAAACAAACAAACATAATAATAATAAAAAAAAAAAACAACAAAATAGAAAGTAATGACAATCCAATGCTCTGTTATTGCAATTGACAGCACAATAACCTCATTTCTGAGACTCTGTAATGCAGGGGCAAGCATACCTTTCCTCTAAGTTCCAAAACCTTTCCTGATCACATCTTTAATTAACTTTCCCATCAGATACTGCTACATAGGGCAACTAATCACTGATTTGTTTATTATGACAATAGTATTTTAATCATATTAGCATCTTGTCTTAGTCACTATTCTACTGCTGTGAAGAGAAACCATGACCAAGGCAACTCTTATAAAGAAAGAATTTAACCCATTATCATTATGGTCGGAATCAGACAGGCACAATACTGGATCTGAGAGCAACATCCTTATTTGCAGGCTGAGATGCTGGTCTGGCTTGGGCTTTTGAAACCTCAAAGCCCACCCCATGACATACTTCCTCCAACAAGGACATACATACTCTACCAAGGTCACACCTCCTTACCCTTCTAAAATCACATAGCTCCTTAATAACTAAGCATCCCAATATAGGGGCTATTCTTATTCTAACTGCCATAATCTTGAGCTGGGAGATAGCTCAGTGGGTAAAACACCTTCTAAGTGCAAAGACCCAAGTTCAGGAAGACCCCAAAGGCTCACAAGCTAACCAGTCTAATCGAACTGATGAGCTTCAGTTCAAGAGAACCTATGGTTAAGGAGGCAAATGGTGTTCTTGAATATGATACATGAGAGGCTTTCTTCCAGCCCTCACATATGAACACACATGTGCATGCAAACTCATAAACATACACCCATGCATATAAAAATAACATCTTTAGAAAAAAATGTTTATCAGTCACCCACATATTATTAGTTCAAACAGAAATACCACTTAAGTTGAATCAGCACATTATTGCAAACTCTTTTAGCCCCTCACTGAGAATGAGTTTGGACTCAATTGGAAGTGGAGGACAAAGTCCTCTAACTTAAAGTTGTAAGGACATTTTGTGTGTGTGACAGCTTGGAAAGAATTGAGGTAATGAATGCCCCAGGTAACTGCAGGCATGAAGACAGGAGCCCTGTAACAGCAGAGAGCAAGCATTAGTCTAGATTAAAACATTCACTTCAAAAATCTAACACTCTGAACATCTATGAAAAGATCCTTTCTACTTTCTACTCCCTGGACCTGGAACTAAAGTCACTGTCACAAGTAAGAGGTAAGCCAACTCTTGATTTTACAAAACTCTTTCAGGGGTAGTTTGGGAACTACATAACAATAACACTTTAAGAAAGTATTTCTGAATGCCTGTTATTTGGATATGAAGGAGCTACGTTAACACACACACAAAAACACACACACAGAGATAAACAGCCCAGAAATATGAGCTTTATTATTTTTTAAGATTTTTTATGTCTGCCATGTGTGTGGGGCTACCCATGGAGGCCAGAAAGCATCAGATCCCCTGAAGCTGGAGTTATAGGTGGTTGTGAGCCATCCAACATGGGTGCTGGGATGGGAACTCAGGTCCTCTGGAGAAGCAGCCAGTGTTAACCCTTAAGTCATCTCTCTAGCCCCTCCACCTGGTTTTTGTTTTTCTTTCTCCTTTTTTTTTTTTTAAACATTTTAGAGACAGGCTCTTATGTAATCCAGGCTGGTCTCAGACTCTTTTTGTATCAAAGGGATGACCTTGAATTTCTGATTCTTCAGCCTCTGCCTCATGAATATTGGGATTACAGGCATGGACCACCATGCCTCGTTTTTTGTTGTTGTTGTTTTGTTGGGTTTCTCTGTGTAGCTTTAGAGCCCACTCTGTAGATCAGGCTGGTCTTGAACTCACATACATCCACCTGCCTCTGCCTCCCAAGTGCTGAGACTAAAGGCTGCACCTACCACCATCAGGCTCATGCCTAGTTTTATATGATTCTGGGGACTGAGACCATCAATTTGTGCAAATTAGGCAAGCAAGCACTCTACCAAACGAACTACATCCTCAGCCAGATGGTCCTTTTTATGTCTAGCTAAGTCAAACATCATCTACTAAGGCCAAATATGATGAATCTACTTTTTCTAACATACTTATAAACACATTTATCATGTTCATGGCTATTTCTATCAGACCTTTAGTTTACAAATGATCTTTTTGATCTGTTCAATAAAACTATAAATGTGGGTTTCTTCTCGACTATGGAAACATGCTGTAGTGGTTTGATTAAGAATGGCCCCAATAGGCTCATGTATTTGAAAGTTTGATTCCTAGTTGATGGACCATTTAGGAAGGATTAGGAAGTGTGGCCTTGTTGGAGGTATGTCACTGGGGTAGGCTTTTGAGTGTTCAAAAGCCAGACCCAAGCCTGCCTCTCTGCCTCCAACATGCAGGTAAGATGTGAGCTCTCAGCTACTGCTCCAGCACCATGCCTGCCTGCCACCATGCTCCCCACCATGACCATCAGATAGACTAAGCTCCTAGAACAGTAGGTAAGCCCCAACTTAAAGGCTTTCTCTTGTAAGCTGCTTTGGTCATGATTTTGTCACAGCAATAGAACAGTAACTAAGACATATGCCAAAAGAGATTGTAAATGATTGTTTTAAAAGTACAGTTGAAATATTCCTTCTCAAGGCAAAAGCCAGAGGTTTTATTAGCCCCTCGTCAGTCATTCAGAATGGCTTATGACAGCTGGCATGTTACTTTGGAATAGCGGAAATTTTTAAGGAATGTTGCATCCTTACAAGATAGTCTTCACAATATTTAATTTTGCTAATTTCACAGCCCATTTATAAAGGAGGTGATAAAAGAACCAAGACTGGAGATTTGAATTCTTGCCTACGATTCATTCAGCATTTACTATATTACCAAACACAAATAATTGAGACAGCATATTCCCTTGTAGGAAACTCAGAATTCAGCCATAGGTATGAGTTGCAAAAACTAATGACAACATCCTGACAGGGACAATAAGAGATATCATAAGAGGAAAATATGGTGTCAATACCATGGAGTAATACGGTATACTGGTGGTGTTGCTTTGAGATAGGAGTCTAACCATGCTGCCTAGATTGATCTCAAATTCAAGGCAAGAACATCCTTTGATGTTATTGTCCTAGTCTCCCAAGTAAATTTTTGTTTTAAAAACAAAACAAACAAACAAAAAACAAAGCTCAACATGGAACGAATGTGGAGGATGAACTGGTTGTGGTCTGCCTAGAGACAGGATCACAGCAAAAATCTACATAGGTAGAGCATTTCTGTAATTAAGGGGACCTCAGAGACAAGAGTGGATGAGGACATAATTCATTGAGTGAGCACTGGGTGCTACATTCTTCCCATGTATTTTATTAAAACTATCTGACAGTTTCGAAGGCTAATATTCAAATTTTACAAATTAGATTTGAGTCTAAGTATAGGCAGGGGACCTGCTGAGACGCTTGGTACTTAAAGAGCTGCGGTTCAAACTAAATGTGAGGTATTAGAGGCCTATAACAACATGGGGTAAGTATGCACTGTCTGCAGGTAGAGATAATGGAGAGGGTGTCAACATGTAAGAGACAACAGTGTTGGCTGTTTCCAAGTGTGGGGAGAAATAGCTCAGTGGAAAACTCTTGTTTAGGATGGCAAGGCCATAGGTTCAAACCTCAGAACCAAGAAAACACACACACAGACCCAAAACCAATTCAAAATACCTAGTGACGCTGGCACTTTGGGAGCGGCCTAATCACTTGGCCAGCCTACTGTATTCTAGTGGTGGAAACAGAAGCTACCTGCCAATGGATTTGGAAATGCATAGATGTGCAGATAATGGGTGTAGATTTTCCTAAAAACATAGCTGTGCAGAAAAGCACAGTCCAAGAGACGAATTGTATGTGTGAAATTCGGCAAGAAATAGGAAAGGTTTAAGATCCGGATAAACAAAAACTACCTGATGAAGCATAAGGCCTTTAGTATTGAAAGGGCTGGCTTTTGTGTTTTTCCACATCTGATACTCCTTCGGTTTCTCCTCGAAGCTGAAGGCAGAGGGAGGAAAGTAGGTGTGGGTTAAGGACTGGAGAAGAGGAAGATGTCAGACAGCAAGCAACTGCAGCTACAGGAAGGAGGATGAGGATCAGCACTAAAAGAATGCCCACTGTGCATTTTATGTCCCGAGGGTCTCAACACTAGAAAGCCCGGAAGGCCAGAGAGAGGCCTGCAGGGGAAAAAACAAAAAACAACAAACAAACAAACAAACAAAAAACCAAACCCCTCTGATGTAGGTTAAGTCTCGGGCCCGCCTCTCAGAGTTATGTAACTTCCTGAGCCAAAACCTTGTCTGAGCCTCTTTCCCCAAACCCACCGCAGCCCATCCCGCGCGGGACTGCAGCGAGAGCAGGGCGAGCGGTCTTGTCCCGCGCCGTCCGAGCCCAGGTGACCGCAGGTGGCGACGACGACTCTGCAGTCGTGGCAGTTCAGAGTCCAGCGCCCGGCCCCGCGCGCGGGAAGGCAGCTCCATGGGCACGCGGCGAAGGACCTGAGGGTGCGGAGCGGACCGCGGAGTGCTGGCCCGGCAGGGGAGGGCGACGGCGCGGGGACGTTACCTCCAACATGCCTCTCCGGCTCGCCCCGGCCGTATCGATGAGCGTGTTGTCCAGGTCAAAGAAGACCGCGCGCACCCGACTCAGCCCCATAGCCTCCGCCGCTCAAGCCGCACGCGAGCTGGCTCCGCCGCACCGCGCGTGCGCGACGACGGCCAGGCGAAGTTGGGCGGAGTCGCAGGGTCACCTGACTCCCCTGCAACACCAGGGACTCTGTGGAACTACCGCGAGAGGGCCTCGATACCTGAACCTGTGAGCCGGGCACTTGCGCGAGATTCGGTCAATATAAACGTTGTAGGAGGTGCGCGTGCGCGAGATAGTCGCGGACGTATTCTGGCTGCTTGATTTGCGGGTTGGTAGTTAGAAGCGTGGATTGGAGGGCTTGCATTACTTTCCTTTCTCTGCGGCACGGGCTAAAAAGGACGTGCGATCCGCCCTGGAGGAACTCTCCAGGCACTTGGACGTCCTGTCTTTGGTCGCTGCACTATCACCATCACGAGCTCGAGCATCAAGGGACACGAGGGTGTGCTAGATAGCCTGCAGTCTGTGCTGCGCTTTCCAACCTCGGAACTCCGCTGCCTGATGTCCTCAGCGCTTCACTTCATGCCCATAGCCTTGTTGCATCTGGGGTCTGTACCAGAACATCCTTTGAAAGATGCTTGAACCCTTGACAGCTGGGTCTAAAGAGACAAGGGAGGCTCTACAGTGTCAACCGAATGGTTTCCCCGTTTTAAAGGTTCTTTTCGTATGTGTATTTGTGTTGGGGTGCACATGAGTGCAAGTGCTTTCAGAGGACTGAAGAGTGAGCTGCTCCCTGTGGGTGCTGGGAACTGGACATAGGTCCTCTACAAAAGCAGTATGAGTTCTTAACCACTGAACTATTTCTCCAGCTCATTTCTCCCCATCTTTATTTATTTCCCAGAAACATTGCAACCCAGTCTTGTGTGTCTATTAATTGCATGGTTTTCTTGCTATAACAAGTGGGCAAGGAAACTAGACAGTCTATTAAGCCTACCTCGCCCAGAATCTGGTCAGTAACAAGGTTTTCTTTGTGCTAGCTAAAATGAACCTCTAACCCTGTGTGATTAATGAAATTAGGGCCACCATCAGTAACCAGAAATTGTTTATTGGGTCCTTCAATGCTATAGACTTCATTTTGTTGAGTTTGCAAAGTAGAAGAGGTTCTTAAAATGTAAGTTATTCAAAGAAACCAAGAAATATTTCCTGACGTGAAAACTGATGAAATTCAAATTTAATTGTCCAAAATTTTAGTGTGTTGAATTAACTTTATTTTCTTTTGTCTTTTGAGACTTGTCTCCTTTTGTAACTGGCTGGCCTGAAGCTAACTATGTAGACCAAGCTGACCTCAAATTCACAGCGAACCACTTGTTTTTGTCTTCCAAGTGCTAGGTCTAAAGTCATATACCACCATCTGGCTTGAATTATCTTTGACTAAGATCTGTGTCTATAATGGAATGATATTGTCTCAAAGTGGCTTCTGTTCATAGTGAACCATACCCAACCCGAGTAATACATACAAATAATGTGACAAAACAGCTAAGCCTCCAGCCAGACAAAAACAGCCAAAAAGTAAATATATAAGGTTAATACTGACTTCAGCCAATCAGATTGTTCCTGTGGGCTGTAAATTTAACTTTGAGCTGAATTGTGTACATAAGGAACTCATTGAACCAACTTTCATCTGAAGTTTTTTTGCCTGGTCATAGAATCTCCTTTGTTGAAATAAATTTAATGCAACATACTTACTTGTTTCTGTGTAGTATATGTCTGCTTTTGCCTTACAATGACAGAGTTGAATAACATGACCATGAGGTCTAAAATAATTAGCTCTGTACAGAAAAAAATTGCTCCCATAACCTAAGGTACACAGACAGTCACAAATGGATTTCTGATGAAAGAGATGAATGGCAGACTACCAAAAGTATGCCTCCCCAAGCTGACTGCCTCCCATGGACACAGTGGTAGCAAATCACTTGTGTTCTCTTAGGCTAGCAGTCAGCAAAAATTTTGAATGCATCATTTGGAATTATTTTTTTGTAGTTGTGTCAAATGTCATAATAATATAGACAAAGCTGCTAATGGGCACTTGAATCTTACAGAGCTGGAGCAGGTCTTCTGATGTGCATGTAGACTATTGCTTGATTAAGTGACAAATCTACACTTAGACAAGGTGTAGCAGCCTATGTACTCAATCCTAACAGACAGGTGTGTTTCCCATTATGAAACCATGAATCGGTTGGTGCCTTCGTTAGGGTTTCTGTTTCTGTGAAGAGGCACCATGACCATGGCAACTCTTATAAAGAAAAACATTTAATTGGGTGTCTTACAATTCAGATATTTAGTTCATTATCATTGTGGTGGGACATGGTGCTGGAGAAGGAGTTGAGAGTTCTACATCTTTGATCCACAGGCAACAGGAAGTGAAGTGAGACACTGGGTGTGGTTTGAGCATATATGAGACCTCAGAGTCCACCCCCACATTGACACACTTCCTCCAACAAGGCCATACCTACTCCAACAAGTCACACCTCCTAAAAGTGCCACACCCAGTGAGTTTAAGGGGACCAATTACATTCAAACTGCCACAGTTGAAGTTCAAAAATGGGTCTTTACAACCTGGGTTCCTTCTAAATTTATATGTCTGGAAGCCTCAGAATGTTAATATTTGTGAACTAGTAAGTATTCCTATGGAAATTAAAGCAGTGAGATGCAAGATGATGCAAGATGATTTTTAAAAATACTATGAACATCAGCTAGTGAATATCTGAAAGGTGCTGGTTAGTTTATTTATTGTCAGCCTCAATAGAAAAATTGCTTAGATCAGACTGGCTTATGGGTATGACTGTAAGAGAGATTGTCTTGATTTATGATTACTTTGGGAGGATCTAGCCCACTGTGGGCTTAGCCCATTCTTAGGTTGTTAGGTCAGAGCTATTAAAGAAAACTAGCATGATAAAGAGAGTAAAACAGCAAGCAACATGTCTCCATGGTATCTGTTTCTAGTCTTGCTTAAGTCCCTGCTCTGGCTTTGCTTAGTGATTGATTGTGACTGAAAAGCATTACCCAAATAAACCTTTTCCTTCCCAAGCTGGTTTGAACAAAATATTTTGTCACAGAACAGGAAGGAAGCTAGAACATAGGTCAATTCCATTAGTACTTAAGAAATGTAAATCTAAGTTATAAATAAAGATAACATATTTAACCATGGTAGCAGTACACATCTTTAGTTCCAACACTCTAGCATCAGAGGGAGGCAAATCTCTGTGAGTGCAAATTCAGCCTGGTTTACATAGTGACCTCCAGGCCAGCTAAGACTACTTAGTGAAACCCCGTTTCAAAAATATGTATTGCATATTTATGTAATAAAAGTTAAATATTTGGTGGCTGCAGAAATGGCTCAGTGGTTAAGAACACTGGTCAAGAGACCTGGATTTGATTCCAAGCACCCACAGGATGGCTCAGAATTGTCTGTAATTCCAGTTCTAGGGACAGCTGACACCCTCTTCTTACCTCCACAGATACCATGCACACTAGTGATACACAAACATACATGCAAGGCCAAACATCCATACACATCAAATAAAATAAAAATTAAAAAGAAAGCATCTGAATATTTAGAAACAGAAAACTAGAAGCCAAGAAATTTTCTTTTTAAAAATATTTATTATACATAGTGTTTTACCCACATGGATGCCTGCAGACCAGAAGAGGGCCCAGATCTCGTTATAGATGGTTGTGAGCCACCATGTGGTTGCTGGGAATTGAACTCATGACCTCTGGAAGAACAGTGCTCTTAACCTCTGAGCCATCCCTCCAACCTCAAGAAACTTTTTAAGTTAAATATTTAACAGCCAAACCTGGCAACCACACAGGAAAATGGTCATATATCTATGGTTAAGGAATTGTAATTGGTACAAACACCTTTGAGAATAATAAGCAATGTCTGCCATTGGCCAGTCATTCCTAGGAATTTATCCCTGGACATATTTTCAAAACATTCTCTTCTTACACATACTTGACTGTTGCTGGCAGCATTGTAAACAGAAAAAGATGGGTCTAACTCTTAACTGCTGTCAGTCTGTGCCTCAGATTCCTGTAGGAATTAGCCTGTGGAGGACTGGTTTACTTGGTAACACAAACCCTTTGAATTTTCAGTTTTCTGGGGTTTTTTGTTTGTTTGATTGATTGATTTTTTTCCACTTGGATGGTCTAACATTTTTGCAAACAAAGGAAAAGATAAGAAAATAAGTGCTGTGGTTGTTGGTGAGATGCAGATGGCTTGTCAGATGTCAGTGCTGGTTTGACCATTAATACATTGTTGCAGGAAATGACACCCGCCCTGTTTGTCCTCCTGATTTCCCTGGAGGTTCTGGATGCAAGTTGCTCACAGCCTCATTAATGGCAGGCAGTCTGTGTTCAGGGCCTCCAGGACTTGGGCTAAGCAGGGACTGCTGAATCCTTTCTAGGTTTAGCTGTGACTGTGGAAGGAACAAATATAGGAGAGGTCAGGCATGTGAAATGAGGGGTTCCAGTTAGGCACCTGGAGTCTTTTCCAGTGAAATGTTAATAGAAATTATTTGCAATCTGCCTCTGTTGGGCAGTTTATTTCAAAGGGTTATTTGCTTCACTTAGCTCCTTAGTGAAATGTTATGTATTTGTTCCATCATGGGAAAGAGAGCACCTGTCAGGGTTGCACTTTAGACAGCCGTACCAGAAATTCTCCTTTAGTAATGCTATGGCTTTAAGTTATAATTTATTTGACTGTGGAATAATAGCATCAATTAAAAAAGAAGAAGAAAATGCCTAAATAAGACTGGGCTGTAGGAAAGTTGACTGAGCAAGCCATGAGGAGCAAGCCAGCAAGCAGGACTCCTTCATGTCCTATGCATTAGCTCCTGGCTCCAGATTCCTGCCCTCCTTGAGTTCTTGTCCTAACTTCTTTGACAATGAACTGTGGTATAGAAGCATAAGCTGAATGAACCCTTCTTCCCCCAAGTTGTTTTGGTCATGGTGTTTCATCACAGCAATAGTAACCTTAACTAAGACAGGCCTGCAAATGTGAGCACTGCAATCCTCATATGCTGCCTACACCCCACCCCATACAGGAGAGGAAATGGAGGAACTTAGAGATTGGGATCCTACCA